ACAATAAGTACAATTTGATGGAAATAGCAAGCTTTAAAGACAATCTCAATTCGAAGAAAACAACACAGGAAGAAAATACACAGTTCTGCAAAAGCACTAATCAGATATGCAGATGTATTTAAGCTGGTTGTTATGGTATGAAATAAGCCCCGCCCCCTTTGGAATCCATGGTAACAAGGACATTCTCCGATTGGCTGGCGAGGATCTATAAATTCCATCACGGCAGTTTCTAATTTCAAGCCCCGAACTGGGCAAAGAACTTTCTTATCAAATTGATCAATCTTCCAAATTGAGACACATTACTTATCGCAAGCCATTAATGTTCTGCACTCTATTCCATCAAGCACCGTGATTAAGAAATTGGCGGAACACTTCAGGTTTTTACAACAGCTGTGATAGTGACAGTTGCCTTTACTGTCAAGATAAAAAAAAATTGAAATTATCGAGTGAATTTTTGCTATTTTAGGCGCTGGCTCATGTTGCAAGTGATACAACTTCTGCAAGAACTCTTGAGGGTCTACATCACATCTTCAGTCGTAAAACAAATGTCACTACTTTTGTTTCGGCCGTAAATTCTAATCCAAACAGCGATCGTCGATTGCGTGTTCTCCTAAGGATTGACCCAAGCATGAATGCTATGTTTATTTATTCTTCTGTGGTTCTTGACAGGTCATGTGTTATACTTAAGCTGAGCTTCATGGGTTAATGCAAATACAAGACCCGTACCAAGAAAAAAAAAGTGTAGAGTCCCAGGTTTGATTTCTCATTCAGATGATTTTGATTGTTCAATCAAGTATTCACCATATTAAAAAGGACCGGGGCATAATATATTTTCTTCAGATATTATCAGCAATTCATGTTTTTTCCATGCCGTGCCTTTATGAGATATCTTGCCACTGACTGCTCTATGTTCCGTCACCCCTATGTTCGACTGCTCAACCTATGTTCCCACAAACCTATCTTCCGACACCCCTATGTTCCGACAACCGGCACTTAAGATTGTGTTAGCCCGTTTAGACTGGTGTGTTGGGGCCAGAGACCAGCCTACATGTATGTTTACGTTTGTAGGGGTACGGGCGTTGGAACACAGGGGTGACGGAACGTAAGGATGTAAGAGCATAGGGTGTCAGAAAATTTGCTGAGCAGTCGGAACATAGGTGTGTCGGAACATAGGTGTGTAACAATCTTGCCACGCAAAATATTACATAACTATAACATTCATGATGTAGGATACCAAAAAAACCCTTTGTTTTAAATATAATAAGAACCCCCCTCCCCAAAAAATTAATAAAAAAAAAATTTTTTTTGTAGTTAATAATTATTGGCTTTTCACACAAATTGTAAAAAAACTTCAATAGGCTGTTCGAAGCACTTCATACACGTCCAGAGAACTTCAAATATTTAACTGAAAGGAATTTCTCACAAAACCCACTTCCCTTACAAACTGATACAACACAAAAAACTGCAAAATGTACATTTCATAAATCACGTGCATTCCTCACTTCTATCCGTAATAACAGACCGATAAACAGAGTGTCAGTGCCGAGGTTGGGCCGGGGACGATAGGGCAAGATTAATGACGCAGTTGGCACATGCTGCATCACATCGTAAAAAAAAGAATCTGCGACAAGTTGTGCGTTTTAACCCTCTGCCCTACTGATATAACCTGACCAATTACATATAACCTTTACCGATTGGCTGAAGCAAAGGGAGGCTATAATTTACTGGTTATAAAGCAAGAAGATGACGTGAAAATTCATTCGCGGACCGAGTTTCTGTGTTGATGGAGAGGCAAGGAGCTTGAGGTTCCCAACACTTTATGGAAACGAAATTCTCCGAGTTTTTCCTGATATTTCCCTGAAGAAATTTCCAAAGTTCCATGAGAAAATATTTCACTTTAACGAGGCTGCTGGGAAGTCAAGAGGTGGTTGCCAAGCGAGGGCGCCCTTCTCCCCTTTAAAGGGAATGTACATCATTTGCTTTTGCTGTAATTTTCAGAAATGAACTATTTGAGGGGTTAGTATAATAGATCAAATATTGTTACACTGACATTTTTGAAGTTTTGTGTTCGAAAAGGTTGATAAAACCAAGAAAAACAAAAATGTTCAAGTAGTCTGGTTCCCTGACTCCACAAAAGATAAATGGATCAATGTATAGATGATGGAAAATTGCAAGGTAAGGGAACCAGTCTAGCTGGCCTGCACCCGTTCATGAACATGTAACCAATAGCAAACAAAATTTGGACTGAAAAATGGTAAATTTGGAGCAGTAGTTGAAAAATAGTTAGGTTTTTCCAACGCTGGTCGGCCGACCACCATTGGAAATGTATACAAAAATACAATTTTCTTGAAAATGACTTCACACCAGGTGCCATAATTTTACAAGATGCTTGAGACTGTCATTTACCAACATCCTAGTAAGGTATTTCGTAAAAACTTGGTAGTTTTATTTTTCGATGTTTGCAAATGTTGTATATTCCCTTTAAGCCACCCTTTCCTCACCACATCGACGGGGTTTGCTTTGTTACCTTTATGCGTCATACGACAGTGGAGCTAGCGAGTCTGGTTTTTTTTCAACAGTGTTCCTGGGCACGCGCATCCACCCCCACCCTGATGCGTGTAGAGCAATACATGATCCCTCTGGCCCTGACTTTTTGTCACTTTGTAAAAATGAAAACACACAGAGTTCAGGATTTTTGTGTGATGTTTGTTTAAGATAATTACAATAATAATAATAATAATAACAGGTTCTTATATAGCGCTTTTAACTAAGATCAAAGCGCTTTACATCATTATTAGCCCTGATCATAGGGCCAATTAAACATTCCAAATACCATCTCAGCTCCCTGAGAGGCCGGGAACTCTGGAGCATGGTGCAAATTTAAAATCATATTATCTGGCTACCATTTCTGGTAAGCACGTCCTTAAATCTCTCCAGCACATATCTCCTTTGGACCCAATAAATTGATTGAGAACGCCATTTCCTGACCCATTAAATAAAGGTCGAAAAAAAGGACAATTCAGAAAAAAATCTGAATTTAAACGAATTGTCTTCAATAGATTGCATGAAATTCCAAGACTGGTAGCACTGGGGTACAGTGGTCCTTTCCTCGCCTTCCATCTCTATGGCCCGGGTTCGATTCCTTCCCTAGTCCACATGTGGATTTCGTTTTCGGTCCCTGCCTGATTCCATGGGTTTTCCCCAGAATATTCTTCTGGGGTTTTCATCCCACCTCTAAAATTTCAGCACAGGTTTCTTCAGGCTTGCGAGCTACAGTGCCTAGGGCCCTTTTGAGGAATCCTTGGTTTCATTACCAGAAATTCATAAATAAATAAATAACATCATTTAAAGAATGTTGAGCTGATATAGTTGACGTCTCACATGCAGATGTATGCCAACAGAGGGTAGCAAACAACTTGGAATTGTTTTTTATAAGCTGTTGACGTTTGTATTATCAGACCAGATTGATTTCACAGTACAAGCCAAATGAGGGCAGCAAACAAGTGCTATGAAAACTCTCTCTTCTTTGGATCACTGCCAACAGAGGGGGCCAGACCAATTTATCATCACTCCACTACCGACCACTGACAAACCAAAAAACAACTTGCCATGATGGGAAATCTAGAAGTGATTCTGAAAACGACTTCATTATAAAAAAAAATCACGTCCCAAAAAGACGTGTCGCTTACCAACTCATATCAGCCTGAAATGTGAAGTTCATTTTCAACAAATCTAAATGGTCTTGCCAAACTACCAGAATTTGAATACTCCATGAGCGATCTTACCTCCATTTTCCAAGCGTCTTATCACTGCAATGACAACCGACTTCAGAATGACACTGACTACACCTCGCAATCTTTGTCTCGCAGACAAAGCTTCATAATTCAATATCCTTGCTCTGCCCATACCGCAGCCCTACAGAGCCAACCCATTGGTTAGAGCAATCCTTCAATAAAAACCGACGGAAGAGGCTGCACTCACCGCCTGAATTAATGAGCCCCTCGATTAGGCTATTCAAAGGATGTTATTCGTTACAATTTGGAGGTCATAGGACATCAGTCAATTCTTAGAAGATTGCTCTTAAAGTTATGTAACTCCTAAGATTTAAAGACACTGAGGTTAAGAGTATGTCTAGATGAGCTGTTTTCTTCCATTTGTCGAATAAGTGGAAAAAGGTGTTGTAAACTTTTGCTCAGAGTTGTAGTCAAATCCTCAAGAGGCATTAAAAGTAAATCACAAGCCTTCCAGTCTCAAGTAAAGTGACAATTATGAATGAACTGTGACAGAGGCATTACTTTGTTACCTGAACTTTCTTGCTCAAGTTGTGACTGATTTGCAATTTGACTGTAGTCAGATCACAAGACGGTGACAACGTTAAAGTAAAGTCTGTCACGCGTCAATGTGGCCCATCAGGCCAGCGTTTATCTCCGGTTTCAGTGGCATGAAACGACTGAGAATATTTCTACTCCCCCTGGGATGCTAGTCCATCGCAGGTTACTCCCCAGCTAATGCCGGTACCCATTTATACTCCTGGGTGGAGAGAGGCAAGTGGAGCTGAAGTGGCTTGCCCAAGGACACAACATGTGGCAAGCAGCTGGATTCGAATCCCTGACCCTCTGATCATGAGTCACAAACCCTAACCACTATCTCACACTCACCATGTAAACAACAAGTTAATGAATTCAATGACCGGAATTGATGACAAGTTGGCGTTTGCTATGAAAAACTTCACAATTCTGTGGAGCTGGCTGCTTCAAAGACATTGGTTATAAACATAATTATTTTATCACAGAAATGAGACAAGAGACCCAAAAAAACAAAACATCTGATCATATATGAACCTGTTCCCCACTAAACTGCCCTGCCTGTTACTCCCATATCCACCAAATGCTGGTTTTAAGGATGCTTCAGGCAATGAACACAATGTGATACAATGCATGATAGGGCAATGGATTAAGGAAGTGATCAGTGGGGGAAAAAAAGGGGGAGAAAAGACTTACCTCATCACAGGCAATGCACCGAGGCAACACGAGTTCCGCATAGTGCCGTTCGCAGAAGATGTGGCCGTCTTTATTGAAGTAGGCTAAGTCGACTAGTAGCTCATCACAGGTGAAACAGGTGAAACAGAACGGGTGCCAGCATAACGACTCGTCCTCTAGTAGGTCTGCATAGATGCCCATGTCCCCGGACTCAATCTCCCCTCCGCATTTAAAGCACTCCTGAATAGAGATGTAGAAATATATAAATATTGAAAATTCCACTTTGAAAACAAACGAATCTCATCCGATGAGCATTGAAACTTTGGGCCAGGGTTTGGACCAACGACACTTGTGAACTACCTTATTGATGAATCTGTACGAAAGAGCAATTTACATAACAAAGCCTGCTGTCCTATCTTGCTGGCTCAACATCTGGTTTTCTCTCCAGTTTCATCATTGAGAACGTTTTATTTTCAAACAACCAAATGGAAATACTCTGACCTGGAAGGGGGGGGGGGGGGACGTTAGCCCCAAAAGCCCCTTTCCTCATGGATCAGCCAATAAATACATCAAGTGTTGTCTCGCGAAAATCGAAAGTCAATTAACAAGTCCAGTAACACGTAATGAGGTATGGAAAGTATCAGAAGGAAAACCTTTGTCAAAGTTTATTTACACAGCTTGTGACTTGACTGGGGACTGGAAGACATTTGATTGATTTGTGAGGACCTGTGGAGACTTGTGATGGACTTGTGATGGACTTGTGAGGACTTGTGATGGACTTGTGAGGACTTGTGATGGACTTGTGAGGACTTGTGATGGACTTGTGATGGACTTGTGTTGGACTTGTGATGGACTTGTGAAGACTTGTGAAGACTTGTGAAGACTTGTGAAGACTTGACAGGACTTGTGAAGAAATTTGAGGACTTGTGAAGACCTGTGATGGACTTGAGAGGACTTGTGAAGACTTGTGAAGACTTGACAGGACTTGTGAGGACTTGTGAAGAAATTTGAGGACTTGTGAGGACATGTGATGGACTTGGGAGGACTTGTGAGGACTTGTGAAGACTTGTGAAGACTTGACAGGACTTGTGAGGACTTGTGAAGAAATTTGAGGACTTGTGATGGACTTGTGAAGACTTGTGAGGACTTGTGAAGACTTGACAGGACAAGTAAGGACTTGTGAGGACTTGTGAAGAAATGTGAGGACTTGTGAGGACTTGTGAAGAAATGTGAGGACTTGTGAGGACTTGTGATGGACTTGGGAGGACTTAGGATGGACTTGGAATGGACCTGTCAAGGACTTGCGAAGATTTACGAAGACTTGTGAAGACTTGTGATGCACTTTTGTAAGACTTGTGAGGACTTGTGAAGACTAATTAGGACGTGATGGAATTGTGAGATCATGTGATGGACTATTCTACACCAAAAACTCTAGTGCATACCTGATCTTGTTTGAGGTAATCCTTAACCCGTCCCGTTGCAAAGGCCACCTCGTCCCTTAGCTCCATAAACTGGTAGAAGCACTCAGTTGACGCAGCGTCCAGGATGTGCTTGCAGAACTCCTCGGCAAGGTCCTGGCGAGGCATCTGCAGGATCAGCTGCCGGTCCCGGTACTTCTGGCCTGCCGTGTGAAGCCGCGGGATCTGGTTGTTGGGCAGGGAATTCATGAAGTCTTCTACCTGTATGGGGAAGAGGAGAAGAAAGGTAGGGGATAAAAGGTTCGAGGTAAGGTGTGTTATTTCAGCCATCAATGAACATTTACAGTGACATCAAGCAAATTTAATTTCAAATGTGCGCGTCTGTACCGAGCCGACAAATGTCGGTATTGAGCCAAGTAGCTCATCAGGCAATTGTTAATAGATTTTTTTCTTGGGTATGAATTTTCTGAGAATTTGTTATCCTCCTGGATGGGATGCCAGTCCATTGCAAGTTATTCACCAGCAAGTTCAACTTGATCCCCATTTTTATACTCCTTGGTGGAAAAGTGGAAAGTTGAGGTACATGTAAAGAGGCTTGCCCAAGAACGTAGGAAAAGGCTGGAAGTTGAATTCAGATCTCTCACTTCAACCAGGTGTAACACAGAAAGACCCATGAAGTATGTAAACTCTTATAACTTATCCCAAGCCACGGAAGATAAGTAAGGCTTACCGGGTATGCCTGGGTCTACAGGAGTGGATCCAGAATTTTGGACAGGAAGGGGGATGGGGTGTGCTGACTTTGCAATGGTGTTTCAAACATTTTGGGCGGGACCAAGGTGGGACCATGGGAAGGTGAGTTTATCAAGTTGGGAGGAAGAGGATCTCAGCCCTACTCTTGGATCCACCACAGGCCAAGCAAGTTTTCAGTTCCAGGAGTACACCCACTTTGTCCAAACTCACCTTTGCTGGAGAAAGCCCTTGGGGTACCCACGAGTAGCCGAGACTCAGCGCCCGCTCTTTGCTGCGGACCAGCTCATTGTGGTCTTTGGTATCGATGCCCAGGCGCTCGTGGACTGTCACTAGGTTGTCATGGATGATGTCATGGTCATCCCGCTGACATCCGCACGTCGTACATGTACTCCTGGGGAAGGGGTGGGAAACAGGAATATACATGAATATGTAAATATGCAGATTAGGTCATTTGCTGAAGTGATACCCTGTTGCATTTTCATTGTCACTAGGTTGTCATGGATAATGCCATGGTCATCCCGCTGACATCTGAATGTCATACATGTACTCCTGGGAAAAGGGAGGGATGAAAACATGAATATGTAAATATGCAGAGTGGTCATTTGCATATTGAGGTATCTAACTGTGTTAATGCACCATCACAAATATGATATGGCCATCCTGCTGACAACCACATGTACTCCTAAGGAAGGAAGAGGCAACATGAATATCCAAATATGCAGTGATAATTTGCATATTTGCATATTAATTTACCATCCTCGGACATTCCAATATGACAGACATGAGAATATCTGAAATCCAGCCTTCAACGCAAGGCCTACAGGAATCCCTTTAAAATGAGCAAACGTACCAAGTGTAACCAGATGACGAAACCAAAATGTCAAACGGCTCAGGTTTTTACAACACTTCACAATGCTGTGCCTTTACATTTCAGTTCAACAGGCGAACTAATACGGACTGACAGGCTGTGTGAAATACACCAGGGAAAACTTCCAAGGCCGAGGGGTTCAAACATTCAGGCTTGTAGATGAACATGAAAGGCATGTGTGCCCTTTTATACTTGTAATCGAGTCCATGCTCCAAATCCCCTCAATCTTTTAAGTCGTTGCATCTTTCTGAACTTGCCACTAATGTGCAGGCACAACACAAGTCCCATCTAGTCTGAAGCAAAACGTAAGAAATAAACCTCCAAAACTGTTGAGTGGTTTTGGAGGGGGATCTTAAAAGGTTTCCAGATTATTGGTGGTTAATTTTGTTACAACTCCTTTCAACATTTTCAGTCAAAAATTTAATTACTTAATCACAGGCTGATGATAAGACGTTTGCAACGTCTGCAACTTCACTTTACCAGATGCAACAAATGGCAAGCTTCCAATAATTTTGAAAGAAAGATGTGAGTTCTCACCAAGAATGTGTTCTAGTGCCCTCGTGTGACAGAGTTTTGGTTAAAACAAAACTTGTCACTGGAACTTTCATTTTTGAGTCTCGTGAACTGAAAACCCCCTTCACGATTCTAGTGACCAAAAAAAAAAAAAAAAATTGGGCCACATGTGTGACGTTCTTGTCAGGTTTCCTGCACTTTGCAGGTCGCAGGGTTGCACCAGACTCCCGACTCTTGATCCCACACAGGTCAGACTGTGGGATCAGCATCTTGAAGACGCTGCTAGGCTGGTCCAAGATGCCTTACTGATGATGCAGAGTGTAAAAGAGAGCGACATATGTGGGTGGAGGAATCTATATAGGACTCAGAGTGGTGCTTGAAACAAAAGATGCCTGTTACCATTGGGGCTTGGGGGGGGGGGGTGATGGAGCAATTTTGACGTTGGGCAAAGATACAGAAGATGCTACATGGTGGAGTAAAGATTTTATGAGTTTGTTCATGAGATAAAGACAAGGGCCCGTGAATTAACTATTACCCTCAAAATGACAATGAAGATTTTATTAAAATATGAAGCGATTCCTCACTCATCATCAGAACATAAAAGTCCATGGCCAAAAATTGAGGTTAAACGTGTGCACGATTTAACTCTGAAGTTATTACAGTAAATCCCAATAAATTAATTTGAAAATCTGATTGTCTCCTCTCTAGAAGCTGGTCAGTAACAAGCCATGAGTGAAAATCAATTTTGTGATTCTTGCCATGAAAATAGTATTTTAAAAATAAAAAAAAATTGCATGCCCTGTTGCTCTTTAATCTCGTTTGATACATTATATTTTATCGACAGTACCAGAAAAAATGACGGTACACTAACATTTTGTAAACAGGATGTGATGTCTGTATTTCTAGCCACGTCCTTTGGTAAAAAATACCTGGAAGTTGGTACTTGGTTTTCAAATTGTTAGATTCTTGTGCTACCTTTTTTTTTTGGGGGGGGGATATATGAAGATAGGATTTCAACCACCAACCCAAAAATGGTACTGTTTCAACTGCTTCATACTGGTGCCCTGCTGAGTGGGACCAGTGTAACTCTGGAGTGGTTCAAGCACCGGTAGTCATGACATTTTGCGAGACCTTATATTTTTAAAAGATTTTTAATTTTAAAAGTCACAATATCTTTTCAATACTTTTGGAGCAATGCAACTAACAATGGGATCAACCATATTATATCAACCAATGACATCTATAGAAACATGCAACGAACCGCAACTGTGTCTTTGGAACAAGCCCAAGGAAAAGCACAACGTGAGCCCAACAGGCCTGCCCAATATATTTATGATTCCTTTAATGACAACCCATTACAGTTTTAATTACATCGGACCTCTGCCACCGTTAAGCAGTTGACTGACAGGAACATGTGCACCGGTGGCATTTACCACTGCACTTCATCTGCCACAGCTGTAACCGGTTCCCCGTCATTACCAAATTAAGTATGCGGCGTGACCCCGGTGAAACAACAAACTTGGAGAATCATTTGCCGTAAAAATTTACAAACATTGTGCACCGATCTATTGACTCATTAATCATTGTTTAAAGGTAATATGTAACATTTTATTTTGCTGTAATTTTCAGAAATGGATGGATTTCGGGGTTTGTATTTGACAGCAAATATTTTTAAACTGACCTCTTTAAAGTTTTGTGTTCAAAGATGCTGGAAAAACCAAGAAAAAAATGTTGTTCTTGTAGTCTGGTTCCCTGACCCTACTTCAGATGAAACGGAGCAATTTATAGACGTCGGGGAATTGTCAGGTCAGGGAAGCAGACTAGCTGGCGATTGTAAACAAAATGTAGACTAAATACTAAATCTGGTAAATTGGGGGCAGTATTGGAAATGTCAGGGTTTTTTTTGCAAAAATTCCACTTTTCTTAAACACATTGGGACATGGCAATTGAAGAAAAAAAAATGTCACACCACCACTGATAGCTTCGTCTGACAATTTAATTTGACACACTTTAAAAAAATTATCTAAATTAAATTTCAAGAAGCAAATTTTTGTTATATTCAGGACCATCGGCAACATTAAGAAAAAGCTGCACAACTAATCAGTAATCACCCTCCCCATACCTCTTTTTTACAGTAAAAATTTTCTTGGGGGGGGGGGGGGCATTGGTACGTGCCAATTTCAAAAATTTAACACCACCACTGATAGCTTCGTCTGAAAATTAAATTTGACCAAATTTCAAAACAAATTTAAGTTAACTTTCAAGAAGCAAATTTTTCATATTGAGGACCAATGGCAACATTCAATAAAAAAAACTGCACAACTAATCACCCTCCCCATACCTCTTATTTTTACAGTTAAAAATTTCTCTGCCAGTTTAATTTTGAATTACCGTCCGATTGATTAAATTCTGCAGGGCATTCCATGAACTCACTGTTGGGTGGTGGTGGGGGGGGGGGGGGGGGGGGGGCGGGGGAGGGCTCAGCGTACCTAGCTTGGCTGGATTCCAATAAAAAACGGGCATCTAATGAAATTTGAACAAGCAAAAAGTTGACATGGTGCGTCAATTGACTCTGAAGATGTTGGGGACGCAAATTGGAAGCGATGTGTTCATCATGTTATCGCATCATGTGCGGAACATAACAATAACAGAAACGTGGGAGGGGAAAGTAGTGAGATGTTTGGAGGTGACGCTGAAATGCTCGTGGAATTAAATTAGCACCGGGAGAGTTGATAAATTGGCGACCAGGGGAAAATGTGCTTGTAGATTTTCGGCTGATACGAGCAGTTGCTACAAGATGGACCCTCTGGCAAGCACTGTACAGGGTGGTGCAAAAAGAAGGAAATCCACTTTTGACAGGAATTTTAACCTACTAACTGAACTTATTTGAACTTTTTTTTTAATAATGTAGTGAAGTATAGCTCTTCAACCATGTGTGGTGAAAAGAATATTTAAAAGAATTGCAAGAATAATGTTATTATGCTAATTTGAAATCAAGTCACCAAAATCACTGTTGTCCACGTGTAAGTCTAGTGTAGTGTTTTTGTCTTCAAGTAACGCTCTACAGCTCAGTCAAGCGGATGGAAAAAAGCCGTCCGTGGACAAACATGTTTGGCACATGAACTTTTTAAACTACCATATCTCAGAGACAAAATATGCATAACTTGCAATCATTTTTTCGTCAATTGTGTTTAAAGATCAATATTTTAATACCATTAAAATGAATTTTTGAAATATGCTCAACAAGTAGGTGAAGATTGCTGTCAAAAGTGGGTTTCCTTATTTGTGCACTGTTCTGTACATTGACAACCAAGCTAATGTCAATCAAAGAAAACAAACAGGCTTGAAAATATTTTTTTTTAATGCTTCATAAAACAATTAAATCATTTTTATTTTGAATTTTTTAGGGGTGGAGTTTAATACCAATCATGAAAATTTAAGGAAATAAATCAATCTCATTTATGGAAAAGTAAGGTAGCAGAATCTCATTTATGTATATGGAGCGTTTCAGACAACTTGATGATGTTATATCTTCATCAAATTTTTATTTGAAAATGTGTCTTGCTCTACAGTCCTGTTACTGAGAAAGATTAATTGTTAGGAGGTCAACAGGGAATTTCCAAAAGATTGCAAATTGTCATAAATTGCTGGATATTACCCACCCATTCAAAACTAACAGCCCACCCCTCCCTTTCCCCCTCCCCTCCCCCCTTCCCCTCCTCAAGAAATGACAGCTCGGATTAATATAACTTCACGTTTCACTGAACAAAATAACAGTATTCAAAATCTGGATTTGAAAACTGGCAAACCATCAAATGATCCCTTTCTCAAGTATTTATAAACCAGTGATTCAAGATTATCAAGAGGCTTCTCAGTTCACATCAGCAAGCAGTTTTCCACACAATTGCTTGACAAAAGAGAAACGCTTCAGAAAATGGTCTGGTCCCCTACAATCTACATGGTAGGTTCTGAATAGCAGTCGGGGAATGAGACAAAGGCAATTTTGTCTA